ATTTTTGCTCCTTTTGAAACACAAAGATGCGCCAGTATGATCTGTGACATCTGCCTTTCTGCAAACAGAGTTCATACAGTAAAAAAGATATGTGGTACAAAAATAAATCTGCTTCCCATTTACCTCTTTCTCACAAACTTGGCAAGACAATAAAACAAATAGCCGTAATAGGGTGCTGTAATAAGAATAAATGCATTTAGGGGAATAAATGATTACCTATTAATAATGCTTTTGGTCTCGTTTAATCTATATATTTATATCAAACATGTAACATAATATTAAGTTGACAGCCTGAGGTCTTGTTTGAACAGTATACTGCAGGAGCCACTGGTTCAAGTGTCACACGCCACATGTATACCAATGAATGCAATAATGATACAGACACACTCATGCAGGAGCACTACTGCATGTACTTACCATCCCCATGAAATGTATCATTTTGGCTTCAACAGGTCATAATTCTAGGTTTAAAATCTCAATTCAATGCTGAAATGCTTCAGGCCTGAAGAACCCAATGAGGTCATTGCTCTAACCCTTGTGGATTATGGAAAATGAAATAATACAAAATAATGCCAGATTATATGTGAGCTTTAGATCTGAAACCAATCCAAACGATCCCAAACAACAATCTAAAGTTAATTTGCTCTGTGGATTGTTTTTTCTGATTGTGGTCCTCATGCAGAGACTCATGTCAAATGAAGATGCATGTACATTCTTCAAATCTGTCAAAACAAATGTAAGCAAATCAGATTAATAACAATTTCATAAAGCATTCTTATTTTCTCAATGAAGACATCTTTCTTTGGGTGCATGCCTTCCTTTTATCCACAATATATAATTTAGGACAGTATATCCCAATTTTATGTTTTTCCTAAATGATAAAATATAAAATGGAAATGATCAACAACGAACTACTGTTAAACTATTACGTTTTTGGATTTAACAAAGCAAGCAAGGTTAAAACCATCTTATGGTTAAGAATAGTTTATTTAGGACAGCAGCATACACAGCATGAAAGAAAAAAAATTCAGTAAGATGACAGCATAATTTAATTGTGAGTAGTGTCATTTACAGGCTTTTATGTACATCTACATCAAAGATCAGAACTTGCTTGGAGAAACCAATAGATGTTGGTAAGTGTAAACTATAGAACATACAGTAGCATGAAGCTGGTAGCATCAACATAAAGCACGGCTGGCTGAAGAGTTAGCAGAACTAATCTGAAATTCTAAAAAGGCTTGAAAAGCCACTTTGGATGCTAAACTAATATGAAAACAGTTTTTTGGATAGGATATGACAGCTGCAATATACATAGTGTGGTTCTTAGAGAAAAGCATTTAAGTAACCACAGAGTTTGCTTGAGGTAGAGAAGATGGCCTACTCATACAAATGTGAATGGGAGAAACCATAACACTAAATAAAGCTACAGGAATGGAGGTCCTGCCATTCAGTTACAAGAGCACATCGGCTTTTGATTATATCAGACTGAAAGGAAGAAGCTAAAGAAACTAAATTTAAGGAATAGTGCACACTAAAATGAAAATTGTCATCTTTTACTCACCCTGATGTTTTTCCAAACCTATATGACTGACTTCCTTCCATTATATAGACACTAAAACTTTATACAAGATACCTAATGTTCCACAGAAGAAAACAAATCATACAGGTTTGGAACAGCATTAGTAAATTATGATCATTAAAATTTTTGAGAGAACTAACTCTTTAAATAAACAATTTATTATACTGTTGTTGTCAGATAAAATACAATCTGAAGTCCCTTTCAAACTGACTGGATCTAAAACTTTCAGATGGCACAAAGCTCATTTCTCCATCACTGTAAGTTACCGAAACCATGAAAACAAGCAATACACGGTAGAAACACGTTTGCGCAGCAGAGTGGCTCTTTCTCACACTGTATGATGTGACAGACAACTAGCTTTCCAGTCCTGTTCCGTTCACACAGCACATGTTTTCTGAGAATGCGGTTGTGAGTCCTGAAAATTTACGGTTGTGAGTTCGGTTACAGAATGCGGTTGTTATGCCCCTAAATAACC